GCCCAATTGTCTCAGTGACCATTGGCACCAGTGGCAGTTTGGTCTAGTAGGAAAAATGTCGAAATTATGCGTTAAATTACATGGGAGGTTTATTCATATGATTGATTAATCACCTTATGTGAATAAGGATGATAATAACTGTTTAATAAGCACCAATAGTTGAATTTTCACGATCCAATTGGTTTAATTAGTCTTATTTTATGTTAATAAGTTGGTTTTTGAGAATGCCAGTATATGTTGAAAAAAGGCTGTTTTGCCACAATCATATGAATATACCCCATCTTCCCATTGAATTTAACGTAGCCTTACCATCCGAAAAGCATTCTCAGCTCGCCTGGAGTGGACCGCAGTCTCAGCCTCGCGGGACACAAAACTATATTGTGGTAGTGCAACCTAGACCAAAGCTTCTGCCCTGTGGCGCAAGAGAATTCGTGGCAGTCAGGAGAGAGAGTTAATGTGCTTAAACTATACGCTTCACTATCACAAACCGGGTTCGAGTCGCGTTGAGGTGCTGACGAAACCAGTTCGGGCGAGGTAGAAACTGCAGTCCACTCAAGCCCGGGTGAGAATACCTTTTGAGAAGCAAGGCTATGTAAAATTCATTGGAAATGATACCCTCTCATATAATTGTGGAAAAATTCAACTGCTAGTTCTTCATCACCTTAAATAAAATAGGATGAATCTACGCAATTTTATCACCTACCTCAATTCTGCTACGGCCGCTGAAGCCGAGCTTATTTCTCTTCACAGAAGTGGACAGTCGATCTGGTTTAAAAATCACTAAACCACTAACACTAGGCTAGCCTATTAATTATTCTTTTTACACTTAAAGGCAGCTCTTCTCCTCACATACTGAATGAGTACTGTCACTATTCTGTAGATATTAAGAGTGAATGGATTCTGATGAATCTCCTGAGATAATATTTCTGGGGAGACTTCAATTTCGCATAAAAGTGTAAGAAGTGATTTGAAGTGATTTGAAGGTCGATCTCATCAGAAGAAGATGAATGATTTCCGTTGTACCACAGCCGTGTTTGGCTTGAATACGACGTTCAGGTTGACAGTGCACGAGACGTCCTACTTCGTTTTACGTTATCACTTCATCAAGAAGGACGTGGGAGGATATCTCGTCGACCGCGTCAACTTGAACGTCTATTCAAGCCAAACACGGCTATGGTACAATGTGAATCATTCATCGCCTTTTGATGAAATCGACCTTCAAATCACTTCTTGCACTTTTATGCGAAATGGAAGTCTCCCCAGCAATGTTATCTCAGGAG